GTGCCAGCCTGGGAGCCTGGGAGCTGTGGGTGTCGGAGGGGCTCCGCTCGTCCAGTGTGCCAGTCTTGCATGGATTCAAATCTCTGGGAAACACAACAGCCTTGGGCTGGAGCATTTGCTGAGTTGTTGCAGTCAGCTCTTGTTTTTTGCAGGCTTTGAGTTTAAGTAGCAGGATTTATTTTGCCTCGGTGTGTAAATCTGCAAGTGAAAAGCGGCGGAAGTGGCCAAAGAAATCCTGCTACAGCATGTAGATTCGCAGATAATATCCTTCAAGAAATTCCTTGGGACACCAAAACACAAAGAATGCAGATGGGCCAGGTCCTCATGCATCTGTGTGCTAGGGGTGCAGAAACATCTGATCTGCTTCTCTGTTGTAGTGTGAGGCAGGCAGTTCTCTGACACCACCAAGGCTAAACAAAACATGTACTGTCCATGAAGATGCAGACAGTGAGATAAGGCTTTGGCTAAGCAAGAAGATTTGCCGCGCCTATTCTGACCTCCATCTGCCAAAAGTGTTAACTTGGGTGTTGTGGTGAAATTCCAGCTCCAATGATGGTGTAGTTAACTCGCACTAAAGGAGAAGTTTTAAATTCCTTCCCTGCCTATATAATTTTTTTTCTTTGTGGTAATCAATGCTTGTCCTTCTTCCCTCCCAGAAGCGGCTGCGTTTCAGTAGGAAATGACTTGAGCTTTGTAGTATTACTCTCAGCAAAGTGCTGGATGATTTCTGAAGGCTGTTATTGCCACAGTTCAAAGAAAACTCCTATTTCTCCCTTCAACCCGCTTCCTCTCCTTCATTCAATATCAGCACTTGGCGACTGAGAGGAGCGATTCCCTGACAGGGAGAGAAACTCCTCTCCTGTCTGACTGTCAGCTGCCCCTCGCAGAGCCCGTGCGACTCTCTCTCTCAAGGTGAGCTTGCTGGCAGGTGATGCAAGGTGCTTCTTTGGTGCTGGATATGCACCAAAGAAATAAGGTTCAGAAGCAAAGCCCCAAGTGTTTTGCAAAGTGGTGCAGAGACTGTGATTTGCCCATTGCTTTCCCAAATGGGGCGCTTCTTAGCTTTGCTTCTAGCAAGCAGTTTCTCATATTCTCAGTAATGCAGGAGGGTGATGCCTTAGAGAAAATAGAACAGTGTTAATATTTTACTGAGAGGCTCTTTCTTCTGGTTACGCCTGGTTTTTTTATCTTGGGAGTTTTTCAGGATGACCTTTGAGAGCTATCTTCTCTTCCCCCTGCCCCATCTGCTGCAAATGTAATTAATTTTAGAGCAGTCAGTGTTTTACGCATTTGAGGAAGCAAAGCTGCGTGCTCACCGTGTTAAGCTTAGCTACAGATGCTGGATCCCATTGTTAGTAAGTAATTGTTTGGGTTACTATTTTAGTCATTGGAGTTAAAATGAAACATTGTAAGATTAGTAGCTTTATCACAGTAAGGTATGGTTTGTTTTAAAAAAAAAACGTGTTCCCAGTTTTTAATGAAGGTGAGTTTGGCGCTAGGAGGATGTCTCAGAATCGTACTAGCCACTGGACAGAGGTTTTAAAGCTCTGAAGAGTGGTAAAATTTTTGTATTAATTTGAATGATTAACAGAGCTGTGTCACTCTTGAGGTGCCCAGCCCAGTTTTCTGGATACTACAGAGGCTCCTTTGGCATCATCTAGCCTGTAACATCAGACCAGATAGAGCGTATTTACACCATCCTCAAAGCTGGTGTCTGCCTTGGTACTGCTGCTGCAGGTGGCTGGTGCGGTCTGACCACTGCTGCTTATTTAATGCAAAGCAAATCTATTTGCTTAACCTATTGTTTGCCATCATTTGACTACGTATGCCATGAGAAGTGGAAAAGTGAGGTAGGGTGGAGGAAGGCGGATGGTTGGTTGTGGGAGGGGTTGGAAGAAGCTGTTGGAGATTTCTCCTGGGCTCAGACAGTGCTGCTGTGCATCAGTGTAAAGCACAGCATTGCCCTGTGTTGTAACCTGCAGTTCTTTGGCCGGCCCTGAGCTCTGCACCCAGCAGCGATACGCTGGTGATAACTCAGCAGAGAGTGTGGTGCTGTGCAGAGAAGTCTGGTTGCTCTCATGGGCCAAGCTGACATGGGAAGAGCTTTACCTGTTTGTGCCTGGAGGCTGCGATGTCCGTACTTCAGCACCAAAGCCTCTGCCAGTGCTTTTTAATGTTTTACTGGGCAGTGGTTCAGAATGACTGCGCTCAGCACATTAACAGACCTTTTAATTCTCTCCAAAGGGGAGCAAAGCGAGCGGTCAGAGACCAACAGGTGACTTGAAGCACAGTGAAATTATTTTGAGCAACTAACAAGAAAATCTGCTACTGTTTCCCTATGCTGTTTCCATGAGTGCTGAGGTTACTTGAACCAGAGGTCTGCTGCTTTTTGGGTCTGCTAGGACCATGGTGGTGAAGTAAATAACTGATACAGAGTGTTCTTGCAAGATGACACCTTGCAGAACCTAAGAATTACTTGTGTCATACCCTGTGTTTTTGCAGAGGCGCTCTGGAACCTGCTGCGTTTATAGCACAGATCTTGCCTGAAAGTTAAATCTTTTCTTAAGTGTTTGAAGACTTGGAGCTTGGGATTGCAAACTCTTTTTGCCTGAGATTGCTTTTGTACATTCCCATATGTTTGTCTGTTGTTAGGAAATAGTAAATTAATTACTGGAATGGGGGAAGCTCAGCAAACTTGACTCGCAGGCATTATGGAGTGAGTGCTGGATGGCTCATGCAGTTCTGAAATGTCCTTGTGGCTGCTCTTCACTGTCACTTTTCTCTTCTCCCCAATATTGTTTTGGCTCCCCAATCACCTAAGATTCTTTTTTCCTGTTCTTAGTGCATTGTTCAGCTGTGTTTGGCCCTAATGCTGTTCGTGAGGTATCATCTTGTTGATGCCTGTTGGGGAGAGCAGTATGTTCGTGTGTGTTAAGCTGTGTTTGACTCCTTACTTTGGAACATTCCTTAACTTGGAGTCATTTGTACTTGGGTGAGTCCAATCACTCAATCTCCTTCTTAATAGCTCTCTTTCACAAAGCCCACGCTTCTTGGTTGCTGAGCAGCAGGGCTTTGCCCAGCAGCCCTCCCTGAGGACAGTCCCAGCTCGTCTTGAGTAGAAACATTTGGCAGACTCTGCCAAGGAGAGGGATGGTGTTCAGAGGGACATCTGCCCTTTCTCATACCTCGCGCTTGCCCCACCTAACGTGTTCCAGCACACCTACTGCATCTGGGTGGGGAGACATTTTAAATTCCACAGGGCTCTTATTATTAGGGTGTTGAGGCACACAGGTAAGCATCGTTCCTGGGCGGAGGGGTCGTGCTGCTCTCAGGAATGCTGGGTCAGAAGTGCCATTTGCTGCACTGGAGAGCCGCACACTTCAAGAGAGATAATGCTGCTCTTTAGTTACAAACTTCACAAATCTACCACCCATTTCTAACTCCTGTAGTAGCTGAAAAGGGAATGTTTGCTGCTGTGCCTTCCTATAAACCCCTAACTTTGCTTCAGCTGTGTGAAGTGCTGGGCTTCCTAATGCTCCAGGGCCCTTTTGGGAAGGTACAGTGACTCCAGTTCACAAACAAGGATAGCTTACTTTCAGATAGCTGTCACGATTTCTGTCCCAAGCTGGTTGTCTGTCTATCTGTTCATCACAGAAGCAGTTCAGCTGAACCACCGCTAATTACAACCTGGTACGTAAAGTGCCAGAAGTAAGTGTGCCCTAATGTGGTGTCAGCAGCTGCTTCACCGTCAGCTGAGTCACCACTGCAGTGGGGACAGGGGACAAGAGGGGAGCATGGTGGCAGCCATCCCAAGGTGAGCTGTACCTACTGGGGAGCTGCAGCTTGGTCTTACACAAACAACAAAGCAAACATCAAGCCGGCTATTTGTTCAAGTTGTGACCGTGGGTTGCACCCTCCTTTCCTCACTCTTGTCCTTCTGCTTAAACCTGCTCCTTCCTCTGTTCAGGATTGTGCAGGGATGCAGCACACCTACCGGCTGTCTTGGTGGGCAAGGGGGAGGCACAGAAGGGTGGAAGAGTGTTTGCATTCATCAAAATGAGAGCTGGGGGAGGGCTGAATGCAGACTGGGCATGCCTTATTCCTTAGGTTGCTTTTCAGATGCTAAAATAGCATAATTAGCCTTGTAGTAATGATTTATAACTTGCATTGCAACTCTTGTGCGAGTTTCTCTCCAGCCAGCTGACTGCTGCACACTTCTCTCCACAGAACAGCTCCGAGTTGCATTAAATGATTCAGTATTCCCACCGGGCACTGTTTGTCAAGCCTTGGCAGCTGATGCCAAATACAACTGGCTAAGCCCCTTGTTAGGTGGCTGTGTCTTTGCTCTGACCTTCTATACACTGTGCCTGCTGTTGACTGATTCTGCTTTGGAAGAACTGAGAAATATCTCTTTTTTTTTTTTTTTTTCCCCCCTCTCCTTCATTTTGTTCCAGTTCTTACTGGACGTGCTTGGCAAGATGGAGCCGCCGACCTCCTCCAGACTGAATTCCCGAAAGAGAAGAAAAGATGGATCTGGCCCCAATGGGGCCGCAGAGCTGGATGGAATCCCTCCAAAAATGTCCCGACGCTCATTTGTAAGTAAGCAGAGATAGGAGCTTTAGGTGCCTGCCAGATTAGGACATTGAGCTATAACAGCAGAAAGATAAATGGGATGTTTTTTCTGTGGACACA